CTAGAAGTTAGAAAGAGCCAAGAGGAAGCAAAATAAATGTAAAGGAAAAAGAACTTTTACAAACTGAGTAGTCAGAGAGAGAGAGAGAGAGAGCTACCGAGAGAAGAACTGCGGTCTCTGCTCCCTGTGCATCTTTGAAGGTAACAAATGCAATCTGAGACCGTTCAGTATCACTACATATGCATGATATTTTCAATCAATATGAGCATGCCAAGATTCATTAGTACACACACACACTCTGTGAGAGAAACATAGAGAAGCCAAACAAAAATAACCTTCGCATCTCCACATATTCAATATCGCCAGAAAACGAGAAAAACTCTTTCACATCACGCTCAGAAGCCCCCAAGGAGAGATTGCTGACCTTGACAGTTGTCACCTAGGATTATGCAAAGGTTAAACTATATTAGGCAAGTTTTTCCAAGAAATAGTGTGGCTTTCGAAAACAGGGGATACAGAATAAAAGAAAATATCCTGTCCAAATTCATTGATATTGACAATGGTCCACCCGTAATCAAATCATTAACCAACAGATTTTCCATTTCAGAGGTGTTATCTAATCAAGAATAACATAATTTAGCATGTAAGAAGTTAATCTTCAAGTGCTAATACAGATTTAGCACCACTTTTCAATTGAACGGATCTGTGCATAACCCAAAATCAGTTTTTAGTTTTTTTTTTTTCATGAGCACTTGATTTTATGTTATAGGCAATTAAGCAGCTCCATAGTTTAAAAACTAAAATAGAACACCATAATCACTAATCCAATTACTAGATAGATGAGCACTGATTTGAAAGCCACGAGAAGATTTTAAATTAAATAACATCAACACCATCATCAATAAAATGGTCAAAGTACAGAGCATTGGCAAGAGGGAACAGAGTACAATGTAAATTATGCAGCACATACATGAAGTGCTCTACATTTTTGTATTCCTGTTTCTAAGCTTGTTGCTATAACTATTAAACTAATGCCCTTTTGATGTCGAAGTATCTAAATATATAATATTGATGCATTAAGGTTCCACGAAACATTATTGTTCTTGACTCTAAGATAGTTGAAGATAATATGTTCAAACCATTGTGAAGATGCTGACACAAAAGGAGCTTACAAATCAACGATGGTCACGAGCAAAGACAAGGGCAAGTATTCTTGCAGTTGCATCAAGTATCATAAGATATATAAACGAAATTCAAGATTACCCATTATAGAGAGACCATGCGTACAATTAAATCAAGCATGAGTAATTTTTCTTTCAGCTCCTGTCATTCCTTCCGGGAAGGTACAAATAAAATCAATATTTTAGTTTATCTCAGTACATCAAAGATGCAACTGAAATTGTTTGCTGCTCGTGAAACCCTGTCAATCGATCATTCATTAAACTTCCAATGTACACTTCACAAATTTGGCATTGACAAGACCAACTTCTGCGAGTGAAAGATTATTTCTTTCTGATCAGATTATAAAGCAGTTTATGTTTTCAGAAAACGAAATTATTATATTTCAAATTCCAGTGGTAATGCCTACATGTCACAACAGGAAGCAAACTATTGTTCAATATCCAAACTTTGTACATGGATTATGTATCCTGGGATTCAATCCATATCAAAAGTCAATCTCTACAAATGGAGCTTGACTGCAACTATTGCATCGAAAACAAATTGAAAGGGGATCGAAGATAGCGAAGTCTACTTCTCATGTCATTGGCATTCCCTCCATTAACCCTTTACAACACACTCGTCTGTGGTATTTCACAACAGAAGTTTCAAATTCATATTAAATAGTAAAAGTTGGGCAAGAAAAGGAACACATGAAAGGGGCGCCCCTATCATGGCTAATAAATGGAGGCTGTGAATGTGAATTCACCACAGGCATTTGGAAACTCTTATCTGTCTTCAAGTCACAGCATTTCAGACGAATTGAAAGAAGTATAATCATGGTGTTTCTCAACGAGTCGAGCACCTCAATCACATTTTGCAGCAATACGCCTGATTCTAAGAATTCATAGTTCCTTGAAGGTGACAAGTCATTACAAACTGACCCATATTGTAGTTACACAATCCCAATCACTTTTATCTAAAATATGACGACAATCTCACATCCAGATAAATCAAACAATAATATAAGCATCAATACATAACAATTCAACCAATGCCTAAATAATTCACACACAGAACTAGCACAGACGATTAAACGGATCAACATAGATTTTCCACAAACTGAGCCAACACAGCTCCAGAATACTACTAAAACAGAAAACCCACAAAGCAAAGCTAGTCAGGCACACACACAAACACACGCATACAAATCATACAATTTGATGACAACCAGAATTAAAAAGGAAAAAAGAACAGGAACAGTTACAACAAGCTGGTACATAACTCACCGACATCGGAGCTTGTATTTCAAGTAACAAAGTGATTGAAATCGACGGAAAAAAGAGGAAATTGAACTGAAAATCGAAAAGGATTCGGAGGCCGGCGGCAGAAGGAGAGCGTTGACGGTTGTGAAGAATATGCAAAGGCAATAGACAACAGTTGAATCCAAATGAAAAATGGCACTGTGAATTTTTCTTTTCTTATGACAGTGCTACACGCGGTTCGGAATCGAATTTCTAGGGTGGGCCCACTCTCGTTTTCCTATTGGTCACGATTTCCTATAATAGGCATATATACTAATTTTACATCTATGTAATTTTATATTTCTCTACCAAAAATTATAAATTATTGTCATTTTGTCAATTTCTACTTATAAGGTCCGACTGATTATTTGGACCGGGTAAGCAAGAGACCCAATCAAACTCGGTCAAAATCCGTTAGGCCCGGTCTTGACTCAGTCGACTTGGGTATTGACCCAACCGAGTCAACTCGATTTGACCCTCAAAGTAAATTACATTTACTACTCAATATCCAGGTAATTACATGAATGGTCTCCCTACAAAAATTTTGTAATAAGTTAATAGACAGAAAATATAATTATAACTCAATTAATAATTAATTCTAAAATACATTACATTTTAAAAAACTTTTATGATAAGGTTTAAAACTGTCAAATAAAATGAGTAGTTTGTGAACTCAGCTATGAGTTGACTCGTTAAGGTTTTAAAATAAAAATTTTATATGATTTTCTCTAACTCATTTAGTTAAGGTTTGTGTTGAATTTTATAAATCGGACATAAAACTCACAAACTCCATTTTCATATATTTTGTAAATTGTCATACATGCACAGAGAAGAAGGTGACCTATTTATACTTACTCACATGCAAACTAACCAGAAACGACATCGTACTCTTTATCCCCCTTACTAACATAAAACGACGTCGTAGCTATTTAATAAAAAGGCAACAGAAAAAGTAAAACCCGTTTTTCTTTGGTAACAGAACAAAAAGGAAAATGGTCTTCATTGTAGTCTTCACTCTTTATACTTCATTCACCATGCACAAGCACATATTCCAACATCCCCCCCTCAAGTGGAGCATGGTTGAGACATGCTCAACTTGGACAATAAGAACCTGTGTTGCTTCCCAGGCAGTATCTTGGTAAAAACATCAGCCAGTTGGAGATGAGAGGGAACATGCATAGGCTGCACAAAACCGGCCTTGAATTTATCCCTCACAAAATGACAATCAATTTCTAGATGCTTGGTCCTCTCATGAAACACCGGATTGGCAGAAATATGTAGAGCGGCCTTGTTATCACACTGTAAAGGGATAGGAGAAAGAACAGAAACGCCAAAGTCATGAAGGATGTAACCAATCCACAGCAACTCGGAAACGGTAGAGCTGAGGGCACGGTACTCGGCTTCAGCTGAGGAACGGGAAACCGTGAGCTGCTTCTTGGTCTTCCAGGAAATTAGTGAGCCACCTAGAAAGATGCAAAACCCAGTAACAGATCGTCTAGTGTCCTTACAAGATGCCCAATCCGCATCACTGTAAGCACTTAGGCCAAAATGACTGTCTTGAGGAAAAAACAAACCATGAGAAGAGGTGCCCTTCAAATATCTGAGTACATGCATGGCTCCATCCCAATGAGAGCTATATGGAGAGTTAACAAACTGGCTTAACTGCTGCACGGCATAAGTAATGTCAGGTCGAGTGAGATTAAGGTACAAGAGTCTTCCAATGACTCTCCTGTACTGCTCTGGTTGTGACAAAGGAGTACCATCTTCAGATTGTAACTTGAGGCCACAAGGTAGTGGTGTGATCACTGAATGGCAATCTAACATCCCCATATCACCAAGGAGGTCCAGGACATATTTCCTCTGACAAAGAGTAGTCCCTTGAGCAGTTCTCCCAACTTCAACACCTAAGAAGTATTTGGCAGGCCCGAGGTCCTTAATGGTGTATGCCTTATCTAGAAAATCTTTAAGTTCATGCACAAGACCCTCATTGTTGCTGGTGAGTAACACATCATCCACATAGACAAGAATGGCCATGAAGTGCTCTCCCCTGTGCAAAGTGAAAAGACAATGGTCATGGGCAGACTGAACCAGTCCAAACACTGAAAGCTTGTCACTTAACTCTTTGTTCCATTCCCGTGAGGCTTGCTTTAAGCCATATAGGCTCTTCTTTAGCTTACAGACCTCACCATGTTTGGCTTTTAGATACCCACAAGGGGGTTGCATGTAAACTTCCTCAGTGAGTGTGCCATGGAGGAAGGCATTGTTGACATCAACTTGGTGTAGAGGCCACTTATTCACTGTGGCTATGGCTATGAAAATTCTGACAGTGACTAGTTTGGCAACTGGAGAAAAAATATCAAAAAAATCCACTCCTTCTTGTTGATTGTAGCCCTTGGCCACGAGCCTTGCTTTGAACCTATCCACTGTCCCATCTGATTTTCTTTTGATTTTGTATACCCACTTAGACCCAATGGCCTTTTTTCCCATAGGTAAAGTAGTGAGTTCCCAAGTCTGGTTTATTTCCAATGCCTTCAGTTCATCCTCCATGGCTGTAACCCAAGCAGGATGTTTCTTTGCCTCTCCATAATGTGTGGGCTCCTTATCAATGGCAATGTTAGCCATGAAAGCCATAGAATCTGAATCTGTAACATTGACACACACATAATCATTATGCCAGGCAGGTGCCCTTCTATTCCTTCCACCTCTTTGCAGACAAGGGTCTGCAGCAGCATGAATAATAGGAGAAGTGTCAGCTGGTTCTGAAGGTGTAGTTTCAACATCATCATCACAATCTGCTATGGACTGTGGCAATGTGCTAGTCTGTTGTGCTGGTTGAAGAGCATAAGGATAGGTTTCTTCAATGAAAACCACATCTCTACTGATAAGTAAGGTTTCAGAATCAATATCAAACAATTGAAAACCCTTTTTGCCCACAGCATAACCCAAAAACACACATTTGTTTCCTCTGGCTTCAAATTTAGATTTACCAAGGAGTATATTAGCAGCATAAGCAAGACATCCAAAAGGCTTAAGTCTTCTGTAGTCTGGTGGTTCTCCATATAGTTTTTCATAAGGTGTTTTCCACTCCAGTAGCTGAGAAGGAACTCGATTGATAACATAAGCAGCTGCCAAGACTGAAAAGGGCCAAAATTTTAAAGGTAGATTTCCTTGAAACAGCAGTGCTCTTCCTACTTCCAGTAAATGCCTGTGCTTCCTCTCTACTACCCCATTTTGTTGTGGGGAATAGGCACAACTGGTCTCATGTAGTATTCCCTTTGAATCAAGGTACTCCTGCAAGTGTGTATCAATGAATTCCCTTCCATTGTCTGTTCTGATTTTCTTCACTTTGCTCTTAAACTGAGTTTTGGCCATAGAAATGAAGTTCTGTATCATTTTCCCTGCCTGTGACTTGTGTTGCATGAGAAAAACCCAAGATCCTCTACTATAGTCATCAACTATAGTGAGGAAGTATGGAGTGTGTAGCAAAGATTCTTCTCTACAAGGGCCCCAGATGTCTATATGCAGTAACTCAAAACAACATTTGGTCTGAATGCTGCTTCTGGGAAATGAAAGTCTGTGATGCTTAGATTTGTAGCAGATGTCACATGAATGCAAGGTTTTTTCCACCTCTTTGCTGCAACTCTCTTTCAAAAAGCCAATATGCCTCAAGGCTGAGAATGAGGCATGTCCAAGACATCTATGCCATGTTTCAACCGACAGGTTACAAGATATTGTGGGCTGGTTTTGTGATCTTTTCCTCTCATATACATATAAACCTCTTGACAGTCTTCCATATCCATGTATTAGCCCAGTCTCTTCACTTTCTAAGTGACAATGAACACCATTGAAAATCCACCTCAGTCCACTTCCAGTGCACATTTGCATAACTGAAAGCAGGTTATATTTGAAGGTTGGTATTAGTAATACTTCTTTCAGTATGACATTCTCATCAAGCACCACTTCTCCCTTGTACTTTACTGTTTTCAGTGTCCCATCTGGTAAACATACTTCCACAGGATTCTTCAGCATCTCTAATTTTCTCATCACTTGTTTATCTTTGCAAATATGTTTGCTGGCACCAGTATCTATTATCCACTCTCCTTGTTGAATCATTTCTAAAGCAGATAAAGCATAGTGCACATCATCTTCATCATCCTTTTCAACAAAACTCACAAATTGTGCATAATTCAATTTTCCTTCCAATTCCTCTTTTCCTTTGATATATTTGGTGAGCTCGTTCAGTTGCATAACAACTGAATTCAGATCAAGAAGTTTACCCTCTTCTCTTACTTCTCCAGCTTGCTTTATGTTATCTGTGTACCCTTGCACTTCAGCTGCATTTACAAAATTTTTACCTTGTTGGTCCCTCAGCTCCTTGTACCAATCAGGTACTCCATGTATTTTAAAGCATGTTGTGGTTGTGTGTCCTCTCATCCCACATTTCTCACATATAAGTCTAGCTTTCTCTTCTCTGGTGAGTCTTTGAAAGTTTCCTCTACCTCTGCCTCCATTTTGCCATCCTCTACCAGCACCTCCCCTTCCTTGTCCATATGATCCTCTGCCATAGGCTTCTGTTTTTGCCACCATCGCCAAATTCTCAAACCTTCCTCCATATTCATCACGCATTGTCCTTTGCCTCTCAGCTGTAAGTAACATGGAGTAAGCTTTGTTCACAGATGGCAAAGGATCAATTAGCATGATTTGGTTCTTCACATGGTCATATGCATCACTCAGTCCCATTAAAAACTGTATCAATTTGCTTTCTGCTTCATGTCGAGCATTCAACTTTCCTTTTTCACAGTCACAGCTTTGAAATGGCACAACACACGCATATTCATCCCAGAGTTTCTTTAGCTTATTGAAATATTCCATCACTGTATTATTTCCCTGACTTAAATTGGCAATTTCTCTCTGAAGTTTGTACCTCATTGGACCATTATTTTCCCCAAATCGATGGCAAATATCTTCCCACAGCTCCTTAGCCGTATCAGCATACATGAGTGATTCAGCTATATCTTTAGATACTGAGTTAATAATCCAGGATAATACCATCCAATCTACCTTTTTCCAAGCCTTATAATCATCGCTTTCTTCATCTGGTTTAGGTATTTCACCATTTATAAAACCGAGCTTCGTTTTCGCGCCCAACGCTATCATCATTGATCGTTTCCAGGATAGGAAGTTGTTTCCAGAAAGTGGATGAGTAACGAGGACTATACCAGGATTATCGGAGCCGTGGAGATTGAAAGGGTTATGGTTGGGGTCCGCCATTGCCATTGACTGTGGAGCTCAAAAAATTGCAGAGTGAAGCTTGGAGGTTCCCGATCAAGCGTTTTGAGCTACGGATCTAGTGAAAACCAGCTCAAATCGAGGTCGCCAGATTCGACTGCTCTGATACCATGTTGAATTTTATAAATCGGACATAAAACTCACAAACTCCATTTTCATATATTTTGTAAATTGTCATACATGCACAGAGAAGAAGGTGACCTATTTATACTTACTCACATGCAAACTAACCAGAAACGACATCGTACTCTTTATCCCCCTTACTAACATAAAACGACGTCGTAGCTATTTAATAAAAAGGCAACAGAAAAAGTAAAACCCGTTTTTCTTTGGTAACAGAACAAAAAGGAAAATGGTCTTCATTGTAGTCTTCACTCTTTATACTTCATTCACCATGCACAAGCACATATTCCAACAGTTTGAACATAGCTCGTTAATATTGATAAACAATCCGAACACAAATTCGTTTAATTAACAACTCGATTCAATAATGGTTCGAGGCCGATCTCGAGTCAGCTTATTTACTGTATTGCGAGATTTGTATAATCTAAATCACTATTTGAAAAATTATAATAAAATATTTAGTGGAATATGACTAAAAGCAATCCGAAATAAAATATAAAAATAAAAAAGGCATTGTGCATTTCAATCTGTAGCCTGTCAAAGCCCGCACTTTGGCAGGGGGAGCTGACCTGCATCTTAACGGGCTTCAGAAACTTGAAGGTTATACTTGAAGGCTATAAACTTCAAGTACTTATTGAGCAAAAGAACTTGAACTGCACAAGAACTGACATAAATAAAGCTGCACGAGATGTACATTTTCAACAAAATTCATACGACGTACCTTACCTTACATAATATCATTCTGTGTCAAAGTGAGCTTATAATTTTTCCGTTACAAATTGTTACACTTCATACTGTTCGGAGAAATGCATCACTTTAGGGGGAAAATACACTTCTACAACTTTGAATCTTGGATAATATCTATCACCATATGGCCATCAAATGCCGGTAAACGCGTAAAAGGGATCTGTTATCTAATTTTTACTTCTGTGGGCCCATATCCGGCCGAGTTAAGATTTCTGAACACCTGTGCCGAATGCTACCTGTGAACAAAGGCAGTTATGGTGACGGTCAATGGGAACTGTAACAGAGTTAAATCATGAACGAGATAAAAATTAAAAAATACAAAAAATAATAGAACTCCTAATGAGATTGCTTAATGGGTCAAAACTTTCCATGGTAAACCTTCGGAATTTGAGTTCCGATTATTGTCACCAACGCTGTGAACTCATGATGCAGAGATAATTGGCTCGAGCACAATCCTCATAGAGGAAGAAACCTTGATCGACTAACCCAAAATGAAACTATTTGAATCAAAATTGATATACGAGGATCTAAAAACTTAGCTAAACTAAGAAAAGGGCATCCTTAATTAAACAATTTTCCATCAAAACTCAAAAGGGCATCCTTAGCTAAATTAAATTCCATCAAAAGGGCATTCACTATGTGAGGATCACGGTATAATCTGTTCTTTTCAAACTCTTTCGTCTTTTTCTCCACCAAACATTACAGAGCCAATTATGAAATTGCAATAGCATCTGTTTTGGGACTTTTTTTTTTCGGATAAGCCGATTAGAAAATTGAATTGATACCAAAAGAAATTCTGTACTGATAACTTTCAAAATCAAAACTATACCTGGTCTGGAGATCAGGTGAATGCAAGATCGAGGACCATCAAACATCCAGCTATCGTCATCCAGGGATTTAACCTCTTTATTGAGCTTCTCCATCAAATCAGCCTTGAGAACTGCCCAATAAAAGGGTGAAGAAAAGCGGAAGATGAAATTAAGAGTCTTGAAAACACTGACAAACTAGTACGAACCATCGGTACCTATACCAATTTATGGTGAAGTTTGATCATCCACAGCAAAANAAATACGATCTATTTCAATCAGTCACCAAAAAAGATAACATTTTTAAGCTATTTAAGTTTATGAAGCTGCACAATTAGTGAAACCCTAGAATACATCTGAAAGAATCGGAATATTGTGTGTGAGCGACTCACCAAGAAGGGCCTCATCCTTGCGGTCTTGAACGGAGGCGATTATGTTAAGGTCCACCGCCGACAGAGATATTTCGTGGTGGTCATCATCAGCCGCCACCGCCGCCGTCGGGAAGCTCCCATGGCTCATTGTTTTTTTCTTTTAATTTTTCAATTCGATCTCACAGCTAAAACCTTTCAATTTCGACCGTGTAAGTTATTTTATATCTGAGAATTCAAATTGGGGCTGTTTCTGAACCGTTGATTTCCATCATCTTAGCCACGCGGCACTTTCAGTTCCCAATTAAGAGTTTTTTTTTTCTTTGTTTTTTTTTAAAGTTAATAAACAAAAACATATTTACAATCCTAAAAACAGATCTCATTGGACTAAGATAAAATAATACTAAACTCTCACAAGCCAAAAATGCTACCTTTTGTTGGTCAATTTTGTAGCCTGAATGAGTATGCTGTGGTGAATTTCTGTTTCTATTTATGGTTTATATGGTTATAGTATACATATTCAGGCTTCTCAACTTACCGAAAAGGATAAACGGTGTATAAGGGATGGAAAGTGTTGAACTAACAGAAGCGTTGGTGTGCATATGAATTATAAAGTTCCCCATTACCATTAGCTACTACTTTTCCATGACTATATATAGACTTGGCACTTTCATGTTCAGTGTCTCCATATATGCTACCACCTGAAATGCCATCTGTATCTAAATTTGTCCACTTATTTAAATTACTTCTGTCTAGTCATCTTGCTCAATGATAAGGTGGTTATATTATATTATTATACATGGGGGCTTTTTCGTTTTCGTTTTAAAAAAATTCGTCTTCTGATTCTGTATATTAGCTTGTTTTTTCCTAAATGAATATTCTCGAGGAAAAAACAAATCGGAATATGTTAGCCAGACAAGGGAGTTATCAACAATCGAACAACTACATTCTTCCTCCAGTACGACACATTCCTCTCGCCTACTGCAAGTTTAATTCTCTCTCGCTTAGTATTGGTTAGATATACACTACATTACATTAGCTTACGCAAATTATCAGATCAAGTGGCAAATTAAGTATGCACCGTCCCGTCTATGAGATGTATCAGAAACTAGCAAGCTTCCACCATTGTTGCAATGGTTTCTAGTGCATTTTTACTCGTAATTTCCTCTGTTTTTCCATCTCTTTCATCTTGTTCTTGTTCCTCTTCGGCTTCCCACAAGAAATGAGCATATGAACCCAAAATCATGCGGCCAAAAGAAAACACACAAAGCCCAACAGCAAACATCCATATTTAGCAAGTTTGTTCGTTTAGACATGACTACCATTTCATATGAACTTCAAATAAGATATGGCTCTACCTATCTTGTGGAGAAGCTTGAAGGGCTTGAAGGAAATAAGGTATAGCTCTCTTCTCATCTCTCTCTTTATCCCAATAAGCTTTCCATATAAGGAAAGCGCTTCACCAACTCCAGGGCTCGACAAAATCGCTCGCCCATAATATTCCTCGGCTTTCACACTCTCTCTCTCCACCTGCACATCATAATCATAAATAATTCTCAGTCATATATTGCAAACAAAAATAATTGCATATTTGTGAAAAAATGCATACCAAACACAGCATAAATCACTCAAAATCAATCAAATCAAACACTAAAAATTAAAAAATGCTGTAAATGGCAATCGAACCTCGTGCAAGTATCTACCGTAATTCGTCAAGAGCAGAAAGTTGCTCGGGTCCGGTTCTAGCATTTTCCGGTAATAAGCTCCTATCTCACTCTTCTCCGCTCCACCACCGGCTCCTCCGCCGGAATTCCATTTTCCGTCCATTCCTCCGCCGCCCCAATCTCCGGCGAAACCCCTGTTAAGCTCCTCGCGATCTGCCTCCGGTGTCTGCAAGGATCGAGATCCCAGGTTTCTGAAAGCTACGACCTCCGATCGGGACACGTCCGAACCCGAACGGCACCGGCGAATTTCCCGGCGGTAGATTTCCGTGCGCAGCGAGATAGGCTCGCCGGGAAATGCAGAGGAGCCCCTGACGGGAAGAGAGGCGGCGGGGGTGTGAGGTGTGGGGGAGGCGGAAGGGGTTTGGACCGGAATTGAACCGGAACCGGTTCGAAAAAGCAGAGACTCCATTACTGGCACAGTGGCATGCTTGCTGCTAGCTAGGCCTTCAAAGTTTTGTGTGTACGTATGTATGTGTGTGTAGATATGGAAAGGGTTGAATTGTATAAGGCGTTGACTTTGGGGACACGTGGATCGGGGACCACGTGGAGTGGAGGCGGCACGGCGGGTCACGGGGAGTACGTGTACCGGTGTGAGACCCACCTAGACACGTGTGGAGAGTAAGGACAAAAGGCGCTGCTAGTGCTAGCTACGTGACTTTAATCTAGGATAACCCATAGGCCATAAACAGTTTGATAAGAGGCTAGTTTAAATGTTTAATAGAGATTTCATACTCATTTTGCAATGTATTATTATTATTTTATTTTATTTTTTTATTTTTTTTGGGTGTGTGTGTGTTATACTCATGTGTCATAATTTAAAATATAATAGAAATAGAGATATAATATTACTACTATTTTAAAGTACAAGTATATGTTTTTTTAAAAGTATAGCAAATTTGCCTAGACCACCCTCAATCAATTTTTTTCACTTAATCTGTTAGACATGCCATACAGTTATACAATCTTATTTTAAAAGAATAATATAAACAAAAATATAACAAACAAGTTGACTAGTCTAATAATTAGACTCTCTCAAACAAGAATTTATGTAATTACATATTAACATTTATTTAAATGAAAATAAATTCTAATTCTTACTCGTCCTTAATGGCTTATCATATAAATGCAGAGTTTTTCGAGTCTATATGTTGACTTTATGTGTTTCGTAATCATATTTGTCGACTTATGGTGCTTCATAATCTCATGTGACAAATTCGGGTGGTTTGGAGTAATTCAGGTAGATTTAGACTTTTATCCATGTTTATTAAAACTTTTACTGTTATAAAACTTCTGATTAACTCAATCTATAAATATGTTTTAAAACTTAGTAATTTTTTTTATTTATTTACTATTATACTCCTCACTCATCCCCATTCCCCACCAGAAAGGCCAATTGTGCACATGATTTAGCACTCAAAGGTGAAGCCCATATTGCCCTCACGTGGCCTCACGTGCAACCGTTTTGTTAAATTTCAGCAACTTTTTTTTAGGTTTTGTTAATCTTCACTTGAAATATTTTTTATAGGTGAAATTTCAAAATAGAAGATTCAAAATTGTTTCTCTGACTCTAGCTATCTAGTTGAAGTTGTTTGTACTATTTAAAGTTGTTTTAAAGCTATTCTAGTTATGTGCGTTTTTGTCCAATTTTTTATCATGCATATTTTCAATTGATGCAATTATTAAGCACATTAAATCACATTTTTTTTTTTTATTTACAAAATGAACTTTTAGGAGACTATAACATCACACCATAATGCTAATATTAAGTAAGGATAATTTGTGCTTGTTCCATCAAAATAACTCAATAATAAAATACTGAGAAAAGAAATAAGAGAAGGATAATTTTAAAAAATCAGACAATTGATTGATGAATTCTGAAAAATATATAATCTCTCATAGGTAATTCGAGCCTGCCTAAAGATATTGGTTTGGGCCTTTTTTTAGGTTACATTAATGCTTGCAATTTCGAGGCTTCGAGCCCAGCCTATGAAATTCAGTGTCTTGGCAATTTCAGGTTTGGGCTTATATTTCAGCCTATGAAATTCGGTTTCTTGGCAATGTCAGGTTTGGCTTGTGTTTTGCTGGAAAACATAAAATTTGGTACACTTCTTAATTCTATAGCATCCACAATGCTTGGAAATTTACACGTAAGAATAAGACAGTGTATAAAAAGATGCAAATGCTTTCAGTCAATTCAAAAAATAAAAAATAAAAAAATTAAATGCCACTTAAGAAATAAATTCCGTCTAGAAAAAGATAGTGAACTGAGTCATACTGATGTGACAATAAAAAAATAGACTCAGTCCACCATTAATTCTATTTTAGTAGAGACCGATCGATTTGAATTGAAATGAATTTAGTTACTTTTGTTTAGTTATATCTATGTCATTCAAGACTTAGATTTACATGGCACGTAAAATATACAGTTGTAGAGTTCAAAGAAAGAGTGAATAATGACAAAGAATCAGTCAAGAAAAAAATACTCCAATACAAGTAGAAGTAGACTGAGTCATGTTGATGTGACAATAACAAAAAAAGACTCATTTCACCCTCGATCAAGTTTATTTTAGGCTCAAGTATAGATTCGGTCTCTTTGTATTGAAATGAATTTAGTTACTTTTATTTAGTTTATTCATGTTATCCAGGAGTTAGTCTATTACATATCACATAAAGCAAAATTGAACCAAAGACATTGTAGATGTTATAAGAACTAAGACCCAAAACATTGTTGATGCTCATACTTTTCACATCATTGACTCAAGTAAAAATAGTCAAAGCATTGTGGTGTGCACTTAAATTTAATTTAAACTCAAGTAGAGAGCCGATCTATTTGCATTGGAATAACACTGATTTTATTTTATCAGTATTTAATTTATCAATTAGTAATTAAAAAGATAATAAAAAAATTTGCACCATTTGATTAAAAATGACGACATAATGAACAACTAAGTTTAATAGTTGACAATATAATGCACTATACAAGTGTACCATTTGTGAAATTTACCATTCGAATAAACTAGAACTTCAACTTCATACATGATAATACTCAAATATAATAACATAAGAACCCTTATCCGTGCAATGCAATGTTAAATAGACTTCACAATTTAGTCTACTCTAATAAATTATAATATTTTGGAGCATTTTGGGATCACAAAGTCACAAATATATAGTAAAAACATATTTTGTTTTTAATTATTTTCCTAAACTCATTGTTTTATGATTCTCTTATGGTCTAATTTAAAAACACACATATTTATAGTAGTAAGTTCCTTGATTTAAAAAGAGAAACATGGCTCATATAAGTACAAAGATTGAAACTTTGTAATTTTCCTAGGTGAGCCGTATTGGCATGGATTCGATGAGTGGGGGAGCCACCTCTGACAGATTGGACCGTGGTCCAAATTAAGCGGTCCTTTGAGCCTGTTCATGCCCTCCTCTTTAGATAATGCTACATCACATTTTTTCTATTTTCCATTTTCAAGTTAAAATAATTTTTATTATCAAGACAATTTATATTCGGGTTGACTTGATAATATAGTCCAAAGTAATGAAATAATAGTTCTGTAATCAGTTACGATGTAATATTTAGTTTATATGTAATCGATAGAATAGAGTTACTAATAATACATAATTAATTTAAAGCAATTTTTAGTTTTTTAGTTGGTTCAACAGTGTGAATAAATGCCACGAGTATCTTTGGACTAAAAACTTTATTGTAAATCTTCCGTGAATTTTAAATATTGATTTTCTATAATATATAGCTATACTATTAGAAATTTCCAACGAATAATTTCAATGAATATTTCAGTGTTGTAATTTCAAGAAATATGTTCTGAAAGTTTTTTATTGGATCTTGAAGATTCTAACGTTATTTATTCAACGGTTGGAAATTAATGGCAAAAAAATACAAAGAGAATTGTATATTCGAACGAAAATTTCTACGTAATAATGAACGTTGAAAAAAGTGTGTCCGAATCATGAAATTCAAGGTATAATTTAATCCCAATAGAAAATTATAGTATTGGTCTCTATTGGATATACTGCAACCACAGAAGTTATAACATTGTGATATCTGTATAATTCTATAACACTAACTAGCCATAAATGAGAGTATAATAATTCTTGGTTAGAGAAAAAAAAATAAAAAAATATACCCAATTTCTCCTCCCTATGTATTGACTATTGAGTAACCAAAAAGCCACAATTGAGAACCAATATTTCAAAATGATGATTGTAACATGTCAATAAGAATAAATGAAAACTAAGGATTAATGATTAATGCATGAAATATGCTTCATATATAGTCAACATTGCCAAGCATGACAATAATCAAGGAAGGAGAAATTTGTTTCAAATGAGAAATAATAATGGGATTGGAGTTTGTATAGACATCAAATGTGGGAATCAAAATCATTAGGGACCAAAACATCAAATCAACTTTAGTTTCATCATGAGATGTTGATTAACACATGTGTTCACAAGAAACCCTCTTTTCTTATTTGATCACTCACTGTGCAAAAACTTTCTAATTACATGAAAAGGAACTCCATTCAATTCACCCCTTCTCAAACATGCCTTTTACTGTCCGTGGAATATATATAAAGAATATAATCAACCAGCCAATGAATTATCAATTTCTTCATAAAGTTGATCTCACTTTTGTGGAAAAGTCTACATTATATGTGGTTATTTATTTAAACTTAAAAGTGTTTAAATCATGGGAATACACTACTAAAAAGGAAAAGTTCATGTAATAGGTATTTATTTAAATGGGGAAACATTATGAAAAAGAGTTAATTCAGTGAAACTCTTTTCCAATCGTCTTTTCGGCCAGAGTAGTTATTTCACTATTCATCTAAATTACAAGCGTTCTCTAAACTTTTATGACAAGATGATGAAATTTCGACATAAAATTCTAATACAAATATATTCTAAGGCATTCCAACAAAAATTTGAATACATATTCTGATGTTACACCTACAAGAATTTTTCAACAGATTTCAACGAATATATTTAATGAGATTTTTTTTAAAAAAAATTTGACTATTCCAATAACATTTTTTTCTTCAACGGTCGAAAATGACCTTTAAAAAAATTCCAACCAAAATTTTATATTACAACAAAAATTATTACAATAATAAATTATTGAAAAAATAGTAGTTGAATCATCAAATTTCAATTAAAATTTTAAAATAAATTTAATTCCAACTGAATAAATTTTAATATATTTGTTTTGTGCAATACAATACAAAATGTATATACGGTATATATATATGAAATACATATGTACTTTTGACAATATATAAATCAAATACATACATATATATATATATACGTGTAGATTTAGGGTGAGCGGTCAGACAAAGGTGTTACAGGTTCCAAAATGAAAATTTTGCTAGAATATGAAAGGCTAGCTTTTGTACAGCTTTGATGTGTTGTTTTTATCCATAGTTCAAAATAGATTTGGGCCCCATTTACCCCTACAGGCTCAGAGATTGTCTCAATATTTGACACTACGCATCAATTTCCTTTTACCAAAATATAAAATTATAATAATATAATATCAAATATAATAATTCCATTTTATGTTTCCATAGAAACCTTTATGTTGCCTAGAGAATCTATCACTCTGCATCTATCATCATTTCTTGAAAATTGTTGAGTTCATTATTTTATCTCTATCTTAATATATAAGAAAATATTATATATCATGAGAATGGTTTAGCAAAGAGTCATTTCTCTATATTAATCCGATTAATTACAAGCCCATCATATATCCAGTGGTTTATTTATTGAAAATATAAAATAAAAGGTATTAGGAAAATAATTGTTAGATAAAGAGACAGACATTGGGAACATTCAAATCTTTAAAATGTAATATTTCTCTTCAAAATAAAATAAAATAATCAAATAATTTTAATTGATAAGTTATTTGAGAGGTTCTTGAAAATAAATACTAAAATTTTTTGTATTTTCTAATATTTGATTTTTTTTTTTTAAAGAAGTCTATTTTTCTACAAATTCATGAATTGCAAATACTCATTAATAATTGGCAGTTTAATTTATTGAAATTGAATTTTCAAAGATGATTTTAAAGTTGGTGCCATCATGGCGCTATACTACTTTAAGTTGGTGGGTGTATCAAAAAACAATTCCCCACAAAATTATGTTGAAGAGTACTCATTCGAGAAGATTCAAAAACATCTAGACATGAGAAAAAAATAGATTAAGAGATAAAAAAAATGATGTTGTGATGGTAAAACAAAGAAAGCTAATTGTGGTTTCAAAACCTAATAAATTTAAAGGTAAAGCCAATAAGAAGAATCTTATTAGTTTTTTGATGTCAAATAAAAACCAGGAACAAATTGAAGCGCAGTAAAAAGTTAAAAACTCTTGTGGTGTGTTTTTTGGTGTGCGAAAAACGTAGACATCATGCAAAAAGGATT